TTTTCTCCTCATCACACATTTGCCAAGAAAGCAGCAGTAAGTGAAGATCTAGAATTCAGAGAGAAATTGCAGATTTTGCAACCTTCATGAAATTGAATTCTAAGGGTTTTTGTTTGTTTTGTTTTAACTGAAGTCCATAGTGGTTTAGGGTTCATTTACTCTTTGTGTTATACTCTCTGTGTGATACTCTAATGGTGGGTATATGGCAAATTATCTTTCTGTTATAACAAAGAGTATAACACAAAGATAATTTGCCATGTACCCACCATTAGAGTATCACACAGAATTGAATCATTGCCCTCCAAAGTCCCTGTGCTCCACTTATTCATTCCTCCACTTTCCTCCAACATCTAGCAAATATATATATTTTTAATCTCTTTAGTTTTACTTTTTTCTAGAATGTTATATAGTTGGAAATACACAATATGTAGCCTTTCAGACTGGCTTCATTCACTAAGCAATATGAATTTAAGTTTCCTCCAAGTCTTTTTGAGGCTTGCTGGCTTATTCGTATTTTTTTTCAATTTTTAAAAATTTGTTCTAATTAGGTATACATTACATTAGAATGCATTTTGACACATCATACCTAAGTGTATAAATTGATCATACATAAATTCTCATTCTTCTGGCTGTATATGATGTAGAATCACATCTGTCATGTAGTCATATATGCTTCTAGGGTAATAATGCTCAATTAATTCTACTATTCTTCCTACCTGCGCACTCCTTCTCCTTCTTTCTCTACCCTCTTCCAAATGCAAAGTGCCTCTATTCTTCCCTAGCACCCCTGCCTTATTGAGAATTAGCATCTGCATATCAGAGAAAACATTCGGCCTTTGTTTTTTTTTTTTTGAGGATTGACTTATTTTGCTTAGCATAATTTATCCAGCTCCATCCATTTACTTGCAGATGCCATAATTTCATTCATCTTTGAGGCTGAGTAATATTCCATTGTGAATTCTAAGGTTTTGCTTAAGCCAAATCAAAGGAGAATCTGGAGCAGTATGGAAACTAGAGCTAAGCTTCATCCTAGCTCAAATATTCATAAGGTCTAATTATTAATTTTCTGTGAAGGTTGGAAGTTGGGCTAATCACATATGACTTGACCTAACAAAACCTGGAACCCAGTCATTCTAGTCATAGAAAAAAGTGATTATCCTTAAAAAGTATTTCTATAAAACAAGCAAAATAAAATAATTACATCTGAGTCTCCACTGTTCTATATTCTTCATGTGAGTTTTTAGATGTTCTATAGTCCAAAAACTATATATGAGTTTTTATGTGAGAAAAGGCAAGTCTATGTGATCCATAATCAAAAACAAATATGGTCAATAGAAGAAAACCCACAGATGGCTCAGTTATTTGAATTAACAGAAAAGACCTTAAAACAACTATTATATGAATATTAGTGTTTAATGAAAAAGATTTAATAGTGAAAATTTGGAATATTTCAGGAGAGAAATGTAAACACTGAAAAACAAATAAATGAAAAAGTTAAAAATGAAAAGTAAAATATCAGAAACCAACATATTAAAGGCAAAGTTAACATTAAATTGGATGGAAGAGGGGGAAAAAAACTTCAATGGATTTCAGGATATATTAACAAAAAGTATCTAACTATAATGGAGAGGAAAAACAGAAAAATAAAATGAAAGCAAAGAAGTCTTCAGGGATATTTAAAACTACGGAATCCTAGAAAGAAATGAAAGAGAAAATGGGGCAAAATAAATTACTTGAGTAAACAATGACTGAAAAATTTTCAAAGGAGATGAAAGCAATAATACAAGGATCCAATAACTCATCAAACTTCAGGCAGGATAAACACAAAGAAAACCACACTGAGAATTACATATCAAATTATTAAAGCCAAAAAAAGAGAGAAAGTCTTAGTAAAAGTAGAAAGAGAGAAGTTATGGAAAGTAGCAGCTACCCAGGTGATATCTTGCTTTTCTTCAGAAACAGTGCAAGTGAGCAAACAGGAAAGCAACATTTTTTAGAAGGCAAAATTT